TCATTTGTTTCATGTGATCCGTAATGTCTCTTTCAAACTTTACATTGTGTTGCACTGCTATTTAAGGTTTGCTTTCTGGATTAAACAGATAATAATGTAACATTATCCGTTTGATTGGGAATGGGAAGTGTTTATTCAAAATGCTTTCACAATCAATTATGTTAGTATTTGATGTCAAGGAGCCCAACAGAACAATTTGAGACATTTAAGGATTCTGCCTTTTAAGCTACCAACAACGAACATGTTGTCAATCTGGCAGCTATTTAATTATAGCAGCTATTTTACATCTGATTCTGAGTTTCAGGTTAAGTTACTCCTTTCATATTGAGTAAACTCAAACATACTTGTGCCCAAATATATCCCTCCATACCACATTATCCTATTAACACAACAAGATTGCTGTGTTACTGCTTAAATTTAGATATTTTATGACTTGTGTGAAATGCATGTAATACCTTCATTGGAAGACGGTCTTAAGAAATTAACACTGGGAAGGTAAATAGCCAATTTAATGAAAGCCAATATAAAACTAGTAGCAATTTTTCCAAATAAAGCATTATACTGACATCTACTGGCCCGGTATGTATTAGTCAATTGTACATTCTCATACAATTTTTAAAACTTGCTAATATATTAATGTAGGGATAGAACATTTCAAGGAATACAAAATATGCATAATAAAACAAATATGTTTTTATATAAATCCCAATTTACCAATGTTCTGTAAGTTTCTTATTATTCTTTTCCTCAATTACTGTGCATCAAAACAGTAATAAGAACTTCCAAGAAAAGTCACAATTCAAAGGGAAAAAACTCTGACAAAAATTCAAGAGTGTATTTAAAAATCTTTACTGGCAAAATTAAGCAGCATGCTATGATTTATATACCCGGATTTTTTTTTTAAAAAAACCTAAATAGTCTGAAATAAAACCTAAGAATGGCATCTCTATAAATAATGAAAAATGTTTGCACTAAGTTGTAAAGGGAAAGTTTTGGTAATTAAATACTTGCTATTTCCCATGAAGTTGATGAACTTTATTAGCATTCAAACTATAACCAAATTTACCCTAAAACATTTTGCAATGCAAAATTATTTTCACTCAAGGAGTGTCTAACAAATTGAGGGCTGTGAATTACAAGCAATCTTTTGAAGCAGGCTCACACATTTATAAAACTTTATACAACCTTGCTTGGACTAAAGTATTTATACTACTAAATTAAACATGCATCACTTTCATACACTCCAGTTTCATGATTTATATTACATTATGTAACATTCTTTTTTTCCAGCGGCAGCATGTTTGTCATACATTCGCTCCGTTTTCTTTGGATGTTTGATCTTTATCCTCATTCTTCGCACTGTCCTATGGAAAAAGGATGCAGGGAATCAGTGAAAAGCTGCTATAACCAGATTAAGATATTCTGCCCTTCCCATTCACAGGAAATTTTGCAGAACAGTTACAGAGAGCTTTACCTTCTTAAGAACCATGTGTATTTCATCCATAACGGTTGCCAAACCTTTGATGGTCTTAGTCAGCTGCCCTTCAAACTGTAAATTTGTATCTTCTGATATCTTCAAGTTCTCCTGCAGCTTGCTGAGCTCTTTTTTCACCTCTTTAATTTCCACAGAGAGGCTTTTGTTTAAGTTCCCCAAATTCAATATAGTCTTTTCATCTTCATCTGAAAAAAAAAATGCAATGATTTAATCTTTCACACTGCATCTTTCTATAACAATTTAAATTGATTAGAGAAAATATAGGATTAAAATGCCAAGTGGGCACTTTACTCTATAGGACAAAGCTAGTAAAGGTTTTTTTTTTTTTTTTGGTGCCTTGAAGTCAGTGTTGACTCCTGGCGACTGTCTGGGCAAGGTTTTTCAGAAGTGATTTGCCATTGCCTCCTCCTTTAGGGCTGAGTAAGAGTGACTGGTCCAAGGTCACCCAGGTGGCTTTGTGCCTAAAGTGGGACTAGAACACACGATCTCCTGCTTTCTAGTCTGGTGCCTTAACCTCTATAACAAACTGGCTCTACTGGCTTTACTATCATTATGTCCTTTTTAGTTAAAATGATGAGGCAAGACTATTCAGATCAATTAATCTGACTCAGAAAGTGAAAATCCATTTGTTAACTGGCACACACATCAGTAGTACAATATATGCATTTCATAGATATTATGCATGTGTATTATGCTTTTTTTTCTTGCTTATAACAGAAAAAAATATAAAAGCTATTCCTGGGTGATATCTAGCTTTACTATCATTATGTCCTTTTTAGTTAAAATGATGAGGCAAGACTATTCAGATCAATTAATCTGACTCAGAAAGTGAAAATCCATTTGTTAACTGGCACACACATCAGTAGTACAATATATGCATTTCATAGATATTATGCATGTGTATTATGCTTTTTTTTCTTGCTTATAACAGAAAAAAATATAAAAGCTATTCCTGGGTGATATCTAATGATATAATGACTGCCAGCAGAAGCAGTTCTCTCTCTCCATAGCACAACCCAGCCTTCAATCTACTGGAGCAACTGGAATTCATTCTTCCTCCACTCTGGTGCCACTGTCTTTTGATTAATCCATTTTGAGTTAATGAAAAATGAACTAAATTATGCATGCCCACCTGTTTTTTCTTCCAGTGATTGAAGCTTTTGTTCCATTTCAGCTCGTGCTTTTTCGCTCTTCTCTAATTTCTGCAAGAGACTCCCCACGTCCACCATGGCTCCATTATAGACAATGAGACCAACGTTTTCCTCTGATGTTTTGGATTCTTGCTTTACAGCAGGTGATGGCAGCAGCAGCCTGTTTCCTATAGGCATTAAGAATTATAATGACTACAATGTAATAAAACCAAATAAGTACAATAAAATGTTTTTAGTTTCCAACCAATTTGGTTTTATATATTCCTTTTTTTCCTTACTAAGTCATACATTACTGATATATTATTTTATTATTCCTTAAGGTTATTGATTTGTACATTCAAATGTCTGGAAGCTGAATGTCTGCTGTTCACCCAAAATAAACAGAAAATCCTTATCACTGTTAATAGTCCTGAGTGTTTACATTTATTTCCTAATTGTTTACAGTTTGTTTTTAATTTTTTTATATCAGACCTTTTCTCAAACAAGTTCAGAACATTAAAAATGAGTAAAACGTTTTACATTTAATGTGCTTTCAACTTATAAAATAACCATGAACTTCTGAAGCACAAAACTAGAAGCATAAATTACGAGCAATCAAGACAGTGATAACAATCACAAGAAATCAAAATCAGTATGCTGAAACTATTCCAGATGTGAAATGTCTTTATTAATAAAAAAAGTATGCTACCTAGCATTTCTTCCTGTGGACTTTCCATTTCTTCTGGATTTTCTTCATCTTTCGAAGTATCTGTCAGTTTTCTATAAAAGCAAGATTCTCGAAGTACTACTTTATTAAGTAGTTTCTTAACCTAGATTAATACAAGAGAACAGATATACATAATTATTTTTAATAACTAAAATATGTCTTATTCAATAAAGATATTACTATTATTAGAATAAAGACATGAAAACAAGCATTTCACACAATTTTTAACTTGAAATGGCTTTTTTTTTTACATGAAATATCTTGCTTGTAAGATTGGCCTTTGACAAGACTACACGTAGTCCTCACTTAATGACTCTAATTGGGATCAGTGACTCTGCCACTAAGTGAAGCAGTTGCTAAGTGGAAAACCATGTGACCCCAACTGTGCTTTCTGGCTGGAAAGAGACAAGACTATTCAATTTCACAGCTTCAGCTTCTGTTTGCCTCCTAACCACTTCCCCCACCTTTGGAATGCTCAAGTGCTTAAATATTTGTTGTCTTGTACACATCAAAAGCAATGCGACTGTGCTGCAGCCTGGGGCTGGGAGCCACGGTTACGCTACGTAAACACCTTACAGTACTCTCTCGAAATCTCTTTCTCTCCAATCTCTCTGCTCTATGAGGCGGGTGGGGAGAAAAACAGCAAGTGTTTTCTGTAGGCAATCTCTCCTTTGCCTGACCCTTCCTGCTGCTGGCATGATCACTTTGCTTACAATGTGTAGAAGAGCAAACAGCTTACTCTCTTGCAATCCCTTTCTCTCTAATCAATCTGCTCTGCAAGGGGAGGGGAAGAAAAAACCACAGGTCAGGCACAGGACAACACATACTGACTGTAATGGCAATAACATGACTGAGGGATTCTGCAGAGGTTGTAAATGGCCATAAATGGGCTGTAAAGTTATTTTTTTTAGCACCATCAAAATGGTCACTGAATGAATGGTTGGTAAGTGAAGACTACTTATACTTCCAAAACACACCTGAGCTCTTGAGAGATGTAGTCCAAGTGTGTACAGGATCTCTTCCAAATCTTTTTCAAGAAGATATGCACAATGGCATTGATCAAAGTAAACAAAAGCCATCAGAAGATCTCGATTAATAGTTACCATCTGGGTCTTGTTTCTTTCCTAAAAAAATACAGTTTATGATAATTTTTTTGTGAATACGTTTAGGGAATTAGTTTATAATAGGGAATCTTATTACATTACAGTGCTAAACACTATTACAGAGCTAAACAATTAACAGCCTGTATATATTTACAGCAAAAATCTAACCAAATTCAAGCAGGAATGGTTCTCTTATATACAACATGTTACACAGCAAGGCAAACTAAGATACTTAGAATATGGTTTTTGAAGAAAAAATAAATAAACTGTTTAGAAAATAATCAAAACAATCCAAATAGAAATGAGCAATAATCACAGATGTCCAGAGCACACCACAAAATTATTTAAGTAACACATTAGCAGCTGGGGAAAAAAAGGAGAGAGGGACTACTAGAATCCTTTTTTCTTTAATTTTTTTTTGAAGGGGGGTGTTGGCCTTTCTAAAAAAAAAACTTTATCCTTTTTTAATCATATTTTCATTCCAATCTTCGCTTTAGAGTTTATTTTATGTATGTATATGTATTCCTTTCCACTTTGTTTTTACTTTTGTTGTTTTACCTAATTAATAAATAAATAAAACCAGAAAAAAAAATTAACAGCCCAAAACTTTGTTTTTGCACCATTTTAAGTTCAGAATTCTTGCCTGCAAGCTAAAAGGAAGCAGCATCAGCAACTGACCTAATTACTTTCTGAAAACAAATTATGACACTAATTATAGGACAGAATTACTTGAACACCATTCCATGTGTGTGGAAAGTGTTTTCACATTAAACACAAGTTTTAAGTTAAACAGAATTAAAGCACATTCCAAAGTGAATATTTCCATTTCTTTCCTAATTCCAGATAAACTCTTTCCTCCATAACAGACATTTCTGCCTATGGATCATTTCAACTGAACTACCAAGCAGATTTCAACTGCAAGTGAAATGTATGCAGAGTTATGAATAAAACCCACTGAATTCAATGGATTTAACTTCTGAGTGGACATGGACAAAGTTACAATGTTCATGTCCTTTCTCTTGCTGCCTGGAGATTCAGAATCTGCTGAGGACTAACAGCCCAGTATAAAAACTTGAATCATTGGCAAACAGTATCCCCAAGTCCCAAACTTCCAGACAGCCACAGTCAATGGTACTGAAAGCCACCCAAAAGTTCAGGAGAAATAGCAAAGCATCCACTTGCCAACATAAGACGTAATATAAGGCAACCAAGCATTCTCCTATCCCTGGTGCAAATCTGACATTAATGGGTCCAGATAATCAATATTCTCCAGACACATCTGGATTTGTGAGTTAATCGGCCAGAAGGAGTAAGGCCTCATTCTCCAGAAACCTTATCCACATCCTTGAAATCTGCAAGTTGAAAAGAATCCAAAACAACAGGACAAAACGGTTACCAAAGTTACATCACTATGGCCTCCCCACACTGGAATCAAAATTGTGGATCAACTGGATTGGAAATAGAATAATAAAAGAATAACGCAAACAGCTAAAGATGGGGTTCCATCTACCTGTAGCATTTTGGTGAAAGGAACAAAAGGAGCATTAAACCTGACAAAGCCAAATACCTTATCTTTAGAAGCCCTGTCTTTGCAATGTCGGTTTCCCTCTCTTCTGTCATCTCGTCTGTTCATTTCATCATCATCTCTGTCTATAAAAACCAGATCATACTTTTTAGCATACTTGAAACGCTTTGTAATACCATCAAAAATATATTTTTATTTCTTATTGTTTGTTTACTGAACAAAACATCAGCATTAAAATATACCGAAGGAAAACAAGAAAAACCTTAGGATCTGTGATGTTTAAAGATGGGGGTATCTACTTTGGTTAAAGAAATTAATACAGCGGCAAATAGCTTAGTAGAACCCAACAATTAAGGATAGGTTTTAAAATTGCTCATCATCATAATTTCTTACACATTTAACTAAATAATTTTTCCTATTTCAATTGGTTGTATAAAATAATAAGGAAGTTCACAATGTTTCTATTCTTTAAGTATACAAATTGATATAAATTCCTAAGTTACTTTCTTTTTGCTATGTTTTTGTTTTAATTCTTTGTATATTTTAAGTATCTCTGAAGATACACATATTTCTCAATTGGTTAAGGACTTCTCTCTTACAAAAGGAAAAAAAAGGAAGTTCTGCTGACACCATTTGCAAAAACAAAAATATACCAGTTCTTTTTTCCCCCGTTTTAACTCCCAGCAATAATCACAATTTTATAGTATTTTTTCACATACTATGTGCAGTTATAACACAAAACTGGAGGTCCTGCTTCATTTTAATTTAAAAATATTATCCCCAATATACCATCATCTTCATCCTCTGCATCTTCAGCTTCCATTGGATCATATTCTTCCTGGTTATTGTCATCTTCCATTTCATCATCATCCTTAGAATCATCTTTCCTCTTATCTTCCCTCTGTAAGTAATCCCAAAACATTAATACAATCCATGTTTGGGGACACTAATTAAAGATCCATGGACCAGTTAATTGCATGGAGAAAGTTCTAAAACCCTCAAGATCTTAGCAAATAAGAAAAAACTACATTTTCTCATATATCAGTTTTAAAAGTTAAAATTTAAAAGGGAAAGAAATCCACTTGGGAATTCCCACCAAACAAAATCTGAAAATACTAATGTCAATATCAGTATAAGTGTTGCATTATGTATGAAATAAAACCAATAAATACATACAAAAAAGGTAAATTGTTTTCTAGATAAATGAAACCAACCTTTTTGTCATCTCTGTCATCTTTTTTATCTTTATCATCTCCAGATTTTCTTCTTTTGGGCTTAGGGTCATCATTTTCATCATCTCGCTCTTCCTTTTTCTCTTTTTTCTCATCTTTTTTGTTCTTTTTGTCTTTTTTATCTTCCTTATCCGGAAGAGACAACAATGATTTGTAGATTCGTACACCAAAATCCCTCTGAAGCATTTCATTGAAAAGTTCTGCAAATAATGAAACCTGCAAGAAGAATATTGAAAGAACCAGTCATTACTTGTATACGCCTATCTAAAAAATATTACCATTACCATACTTCTAAAACAAACCAGAACAGACAAAATAAACAGCAAGCTAGAACCAAAGGAAATAACCACATATTAAACCATAGTTATGACAACAAAATCTGAACTTCCCAGTAGCATCCTTTACTTCTAAATCTGGCAACAGGCCCTCTCTCATTAGAAAACAAAGGTGTAGAATAAAATTAAAACTCAAAGCCAGAAAGAGTGCACTTTTAGGCTAAAAAAAGAAGCATTCATCCAATGTAATGGAAGCAGATGGAACTCAAACACCTGGCTTCTTGAAGAGCCAAGTGGGGAAAGTTAAGTGTTACCTCAAAGGAATGTTCTTTGTTATCTTCCAACCTGTAATCCAGAAGAACACTAAGGGACATAATACTGCAGTCAAACTTTCCACTTTTGGCTGCCCAGTTAGGATGCACAATGATTGCAGGTTCATCAGGCAAAATGTATCTTCTCTCTCGACGCTGGCGTTCTACTTCTTCTAACCGTTTCCTCTCTTCTTCCTAAAGCATTGAGAAAACAATTCGGACTGAGACTTTAAATGCTCACTCTTTGAAGTCAACAACAACAAAAAGAAAGGTCTGGGCCACAACCTTACTGAAAAAGGAACAGACATCACATCCAAGCGGGACATTCTATGCCTGGATAGCCAGTGCAGTGTAAGCAAAAAAATAATTCTGGGTGTAAATTCAAATCTCTATTTAGCCATAAAGCACTTGAACACTAAATAAGTAGTGCTGTGAGGAAAGATCATACACGCCACCTTGAGCATACAAAGCCCTTTATGACTTGGCCTCCTTCAAAATAATTCTGCCCATTCTGGGCATGTCTCTGGACATGATGCTGAGGGCCTGTCTTTGAGAGAGATTGGAGGGAATGTGGACCCAGAGTCAGCCTTTCTCTGTGATGACCCTGATGCCGTGGGATGCTGTCGCTCTGGAGATTTGCCTGGTGCCTTTCCTACTGGCTTTTTGGAAGGCTGTCAAGATGGTTTTGAATGAGCGGGCTTTTAAGAAAAGTATGATTGTTGATTTGGAGGTCTTTAAATTTTGTTTTGATTTTATGGCAAATTTGGACTACCATACTGACATTTTTATACTGCTGTATTTCTGGCATCATATTTTTATGTTATTGTATTTTTGCTTGTTGGGGTTTATTGGGATTATTTCTAAATGTTATAAATTGCTTGGAATCAATCAATCAAATAAAATATTAAGACATACAAATTCAAATGTTAAAAAAGCATTAGTATAAATGACTTGGTCCCTTTTTATGCTATTGTCATCCTTGCTGAAGGTCTACAAGTATTTACATGGGAAGCAAATACTTTTTCTGCCCTGTAGTTCTACCAAGCAGAAGAGGAACCAACTATGAGTAAGGAGCATCTACACTACAATTAAGCAAGGTTCTGGTAATTTTTAAGAGTTCAAAGACTAAATAAGATAGGTGGAATGCTGATTCTGACAACCATGTTCTTTTCTCACACACTTAAGCATTCAGCTTAATTATGAATCAAACGCTTAGCACTTAAACATTAATTTGCTAGATGTCCACCTCTTTGTCATCTTCAGACTTTCTTTCTTCTTCCTCCTCATCCTCCTTTTCAGATTTTTCCAATTCTTTCTGTTCTTCCTTTTGCTCCTCCACTTTTAGTTGCTTTGTTAGCCGGGCTATTAGCTGGGATTTCAGACCTTTCGAGCTAAGAGTTCGACTTTCTAACTCCTTGCGTAGGTCATTCACCTAATTAATTTAATATTAAATTAAATACATAAATCAGATATGTACTGTTTATACAGTCAAACACCTTGAGAAACACCTCCACATCAAATCTAAAACATAATGAAGGAAAACTTTAGCAACTAAACAAAAATCTTGATAGAATTTATGATAACTGCTTACAAAAAGCAAAGTATATTTTTCATCATTTCAGAAAAACAAACAAAAAACATCCTTTAATATCTTTAAGAATCATGCTTTAAGCTGTATAAATATTTGGAGTTGCATCCAATGGGAACCCTTCCACAGACATAAGGGGGTCTACCAGCACAACTGATTCTTCTTCCACTCTTCAGCCCTTTCACTTCTTCCCAAGGATCTTCTGGAGTTCCAGAGGGGCTGGAGGGGCATCTCACTGCACATGGCTGTCTAATACTGGATGTAGTCTTCAGTGCATTTACCTTCATTGCTTTTGGATCAAGTTTGGACCAATGGGTAGGAGTAGATATTTCTTTAGCTTCCCCATCATCTTTTTCCTCTTCATCCTAAAAAATGAAAGAAAGACATGTTCCTTCAGGAAAGTATTAAAATAAAGGTCCATCTTTTTTAATTCCTGTGGCTGATCTGGGCAAGGTCACAACTGTTTCATCAGATAGTCTTCTCCTAAAGTTACCATTTCAACAAAGCCACATACACACATTCTGCTACTTTAACAATGATCACAGTGCCTCTCTCATCAGCCAATAAGAGTCTTCTCTGTGAAACACAAAAGGGTGATAAAAAAACCAACAAACAAAGAACATCAGGGATACACAGACATTTCTGGTCACCACTAACCACACAGCCTGTGATTTTCCCCAAATATCAAACCACCCAAAATATTCTCATATTGTTAGACCTTTTACATTTACCAAGATGCCAAACAGCCATACGGCCTAAAAAGGCTATGTTATTTCAACATCTTGCCTATTTCCAAGTACCATTATGTATTTTTAAAAGGCTAATGTATGAGAGAAAACTCAGGTATTTTTTGCTTTACACAATTCTTAACACTGAATCTCACTCAACAACTGGTCCCAGATTCCAGCAACTAATTCTAAGATGTCAGAGATTTGTGAATTCAATGTACAGTTTTAATTCCACTTGTTGCATCCGCACACATTTTAAGTTAGTATACTAGCTGCAATTAAACAAAACAGGGATTCTATACTGCTGAAAGCTGGTTTACCAGTCATTGTTACCAGTTATGTTCCTCCTAGGTATGTTTGTGGTGTAGCATGTGATGTGCATTTTGTGCCTGTGTTCCTGCGCCTGTGAGAAGCAGAAATAGAAAAAGGGATTAGCGTTCAGTGCCTGTTCTCCATCAGCCTCCTTGCGTTCACCCTGAAGCTTCTCGACCAGCTGCTGCTTGTATCCTCGGGAGAGGGTTTCCCACTCTGAGCGGGTGGGAAGGCAATGCCAAACATCCGGGAAAAATAAAACCACTGTCTCCACATGAGCTGGAACTGTACGCCCCTTGTGGGTCTCCTCAGGGCGATGGTAGCGAATCTCTGCAAAACGGTACCTGTTGCAAGGGAAGAAGCATGTTGGAAAAAAAATTCTAGAATACATTTTATAGAGCCTAGTTCACTGCAGCACATCAAGTAAAGAAACTTTGCTGCGACAACCTGAATTTTTTTAAAGAAAAAAAAAATGAAAGCCATATATTCTCTTTGAAAAACTTGCAGAATTTATTTTAAGACACCTGCTCAAGAATATATTAATTGCCAAAGACCATGCAATTGGCTATTCCATATTAAAATGTGCAGTACTGGTCTGAACTTAAATTTAGTGGAATTATCTTTTAAATTTGGTATACAATAGTCTGTTTGCAAAGTGACAGACAGGTGATTTAACATCCAAGTAGGAAATCCAACAGGAGAAGATATGGCTACCCCAAACATCTAATTGTAACACGAGAATAATGAAATGAAGTTTCCTTGACGATCTCCTCCAGCTATGCGTGAAATGAAAAATATTTTAACATACAGGCATTGCAAAATTCACACAACAAATACATGATTTTAAAAGCTCATTTTTCAAACCTTTTGGCACCAAATCACATTTGCACTGTTAACTAGGACAGCAACTTGAGTAGTTTACCTGGATAACTACTGGATCCTGATAAAGAAAGGAAGAGGCTGGCTTTGACAAAATCACTTTCATTTTATGCATGCTCAAGGTCTCCAGAATATTTCAAGAATACAATACTTACCATTGTGTGCATACACTTAAATCAATTCCTGTTAGGGCCCTGCAACACCGGATAGCAGTTTTAATCAGCACAGATGGGTCTTTCTCTGGGTCAGGTCCATCCAGTGAAGGTGACCAATGTCCACCAATAGCCATGGCTTCATCTTTCCCTTTCATACCCACTAAAAACTAGATAAGAAACAGTTACTTAATTAATACTTAGCTACAAAGAAAAAACTCTCCAGACAATGGCACTGCAGTTCTAAATGATATACATGCTATTTTCTCAGCATAAGAAAACATCTTTGTATCTGAGTTTAATAGCATAGGCCTATATGACACATTCCATATGAATGTATTGTTTTTATTTTATACTTGATGGGTCTGTGGCCTGTAATAAAGTTTTTCATTTGTTCATTCATTTATGAAAGTGTGTAATGGAAGTAACAGTCTTGCAAAAAGATGAGTTCAGCTTTTGTTTTCCACAATACATTTCAGTAATGGAATAGGTTTAAACATCATTACTCATTAATTTTGCAAGATCCCTGTGCAAGTTTTACCACCATACAGAAAGTCTTATACAAAACAGATGGAAATAGTCTCTCTAGTAAAATAACTAACTTTATGAAAGCTAGTGCAGAATACAGGCTTGTAAATATTAAATGCTTTTACACTCCTAAAACTAAACAGATGCTAACTTAACCAGCAATCTGGACTCAAGACGTAAGAATATAATGTTTTAAATGCTCCCAGATAAGTGAAAACAGAAAGTCTATGTCTGCAAGTGGAACTAAACACCTCATCAGCCATATTCCACATGGTCACTGGTGAGGAATGATGGGAGCTATAGCCACACCCCCAACCCTGATAAGGATTTTGTAACAAAATGTTTTTACAAGAATTTATTTTAACCTTTATAAGTCTAGCGGGGTGTTGAAAACCATCCCGGACTTCTTGAGGATCTTCAGCAAGGGCACATGATTTGTGATAAAGATCTTCCATGCTAGGACTAGCCATGAGCATCACCTGTTTGAACAGCAAGATAGTATCATGTGAAATAAGCAATGGTACAAAATGTAATACAAGGCCTGACCCTCCAAAGATAACTAAAGAGGCAGGTGGGATGGCTTTTGTGGCAGGAGAGTCTGATCTGCTTTGTTTAAGCCAATCCATCAGCAAATGGACACAATCTGATACAATCCTGAGTGTCTTATATGGAAAAATAAACATCCACATATGTATTTTGAAGGGGTTAATTTAAGAAACTAAAGAGCATTATTGTTTAATGTTTAATTTTTGATTCAATGCTCTTTAGAAGTTCAAATCACAACCTTAGAAATGCTTACTCTAACTTCATATAAGTTTCGAAGGCCCACTAAACACGTACAAAGGCAACTGATTGTTCCTATCAATTTGCAAAATGATTTGACAATTGCTTTCCTACTTTCTAATGACTTACGTGAGGTTCAAACAATTCAAACAAGAAAGAGCACAGGATATAAATGCTTCTGATAGTACTAAATCCCCCTAGGGCAGTGTTGTCAAACCTGGGCCTTTTTAGGATGGGTGGATTTCGGGGAGTTGAAGCCCACTCATCTTAAAGTGGCCAAGTTTGGACAACACTGCCCTAAGGGGATTTCTAAGGAAGAAGTGGCATCTTGGATGCTACACGCACCTTTGCACTGTAAAGATGATCAGCATCTGCTGGGTCCAGCACAGCGGTGTTCTTATCCAGGGGGTCGACTTCTCTTTGCATGACATAGAAATTGCAGTAGTTTCCCAGCTGAAATGGTC